TAATGATATTATGAGACACTAGTATCAAAGGTATGTTGAACCTATAGAATAAGGCACTGCAAGCATGTTATAGAATTATACCTAATAGATAATTTGCTAATGAACATGTAAACTGGGTGGGCAGTCAAAGGTTGAGAATGGGTCTTTAGTACCACTTCTTTCAAATGACTGTCAGCGCCCATCATTCATGTTGCTTCTGTTGTTCTGAGGCTGAGTGGGAATTTGTTTGCATGTTTTGCTGAAGTTTTGTGGATTTTTAACAAGGGTGTTAACTTGTTTCATTTATTGAGTAAAAATATAATTTTTCTTCAATAGCTGGGAGTGTTTAGAAAACCAAACCTAACAAATTAATTAGAAAATTGATTCACCTCCACAAACAAATACAGGAACTTTTTCTGACAGTTTCAATGAGCATCATTACCTCTGTGCTATTCAATTTTGTAGAGATCATACAAACCCAGGAAATAAGTAATTAACAGGATGCTCTGCAGATGTCATTGGAGCACTATGATCCCTATATCACAAAAATAATAAACAGAGGTGGGCAAACGCTATGAAATCTTAACATTAACTGAGAAGAGAACTGCCAACAGAAATAATGACAGAGTAGTAGCTGAATTTCAGACTAGCTAAATGGCCTTCTCTGTTGCACTTCAAAACAAAATAATATCAGGATTTCTAAGGAAATTGAATTAAAGTGGAAAAGGAACCAGCAGTAGACATATGGTCTGATGCAAGAAACAGCAAAGAAATTAAAGGGATTTATATTAGAGAGGAATGGTAAGGGTGACAGTCATGTTTACTGATGACTAAAAAAAGGCAGAGATTTAATACTGTAAAAAAAGGTGGAAGAAGAAGAATCATCCAGAATATTCTGAGTTGGAAGAGGCACCATGAGGATCATCAAGTCCAACTATAAAGTGAATGGCCCATGCAGTTCTTTCTGTGGAAACAAGCTACTTGTGCTTCTAATGCCTGTAAGTTTGTTCCCAGGCTCCCTAACTCTTTTTTTTCAATGGCTGTTTCCTTTCCCCATCCCAAAGCTGAGAGATTCTGGCCCTGGATTTCAGTGTTTATCACCTCGATCGGTCTCCTGTTTTCTGGAAATGGAGCTAAGATGTCCCACTGCTCACTCACTCTTGCTCCTTTTCTGAGTCCTAAAGGCAGCATACCTCATCTGCAAAACAGCAAATTCTAGACATAATGAAGTTTCACATTTTTAGACACAGGCAAACACACACACAACTTGTGTAAACTTAGAGCAAGGTGACTGCCACTAAGTTCTTACTGTGGCTAGGAAAATGGATATCCAAGACATATTTTGTTCCTCCAAATCTGCTCAGGATGCTGTTTTGTCCTGGGAGTAGAAGAGTGGCACTCTGGGTTTTTGCTATTCTTACCCCCTGCTCAAGATGTGTGGAAACTACATCCTGAGCTCTCTGGTTTCCTCTTTTTATTTGTGTTTTCAAGCTTCCTCCTCACAATGTCTGGAGCCTTATCTAAGTACAAATGCCTGCCTCTGGGGCCACTTTTTTTCCTTATTTTGTTTTCTTATGGAAATGACTGTGACAGAATCTGTTGAAGCCTTTTGCTAGTTTGTGGATTGCAGGCAGGGGTTTGCCCAAAGGCAGGAGGAGCGTCAGAGCCAACAAAACTGCTCTGGCAAATGTGGATCTGACCCTCTGCGGAAGGGGAACTCCGCATCTCATGTCACATGAGGTTATGAAGTCCACCCTTCCCTTTAGGCTGTGACAGAGGAAAAGTTGTCCTTGTTTCGTTGCTGTCCCTTACACCTAAACTTAATGGCTGCAGAATAGAATACCATTCACTGCTCTTGTAGCTGTGGGAATACTATTCACATGTTTATCAGTCCATCACTTAAAGTAGATCATTTTCAACACAGAAATCTGTTCCCTGTAACTATGTGAATGACCTGGATGCTTTTAGGTGTAATAGACCATAACTATCGTTCATGGCAACCCTTCCCCATGGAGCCCATACGCTCCAGGTAACAACTTCCCCTTATGTGAAAACACTGCTGTCTGTTTCGTGATCAGTGACTCTTAGTGTATCATCCTTCCCCATAAAAGTTTCATCTGTCTCAGTTTGAAACTGAAGTTCCTCAGGAAAAAAACCCTAACCACAAAACCTGTCACTGGCAGATGGGTAAAAAAGAGCTTATTGTGGTTTGTCAGGTATATATACATTTTGAAGGGACTTGAAATACACCAGTCTGGGCATCCTAAGAGGTTCAACATGGCATGAAGTCATGTCTATCTTTCTCTGAGAGGGGCCTGTATATACCTTCTGCTTGTTAAATTTGGACTCTTCAGCCCTTAGGTGAGCTCTTTGGTAAGCCCAGCTTAGATTCTTGAGTTTCTACCAGTAGTGGGTCTAAGCACAGCATTTGAAAATCAGTCCTAAATTCCAACTATTTTTTAAAACTACTGTTTGGTTGGGTTTAATTTCTTTAATGTGTGGTGTATATATATATATATATATGTGATTTATTTCCTACGATGATACTCTACTGTCAAGCATTCTTTACAGAAATCAGTGTGTGATTGGTTCATAAGCATTCATACTTCTATCAGTCTTGTTCCAAAAAAAAAGTATTTCTTACTGATACATCTGTGCAGTTATTTACGATAGTGAAGACATTTAAAGTTGCATTTCTTAACTAAACATTATATCAACTGGACTCTTATTTTTTTTAATAATGATGTTTCAAGGTGAACAAAATTACTTCTGCCATGCTAAGCCCTCTAAAAATGTTGCTGCATTATCATTGCAGGTTAGGTCAGTTGACCCTTGTACTTCCCAGGCCAATTTTTCTCAATAAGATGATAAATACTTAAAGTTTACCTTCAGCTTCATCTGCTAAAACACTTCTCCTTGAGCTTTTAAACCAAAGCTAACAGTAATTTAGAAAGAATCTACTCACTAAAGCCTTAATTATGTATATTGTTTTATGATGTTGATCCCTATTTTCCTATTCCAAGAAAGATTATAAACAGGAGTGTTGTATATTCAGTTGGAGTGATGCAAGCCAAGTGAACGTTTATTTGTGAAGGAGAAAGTACTGGTCATTGTTTGTGACAGGGCTGCAATAATGGAAGGGATTTGAAAGCCCATGCCCAGGTGCAGTTTGCCAGGTCCTAGCATCAGAATCCTGCTCTTCCTGCCTCTCTTTGGGGCAAGACCTCTGGAAGTTGGTGCTAGGCACAGAGCCGTATGGGCTCCAGCTGTAGGGCTGTGCACTCACTTGTCCAACTGCAAACATAAAGTGACACCTCTGAGAGGGGAGCAGGTTCTGGCACAGGCAGGGCACAGCAGCTGGCTGCAGGTGCTCATGGCCTGTGCCCCAGTGGCTTCACCTTCCGGGTAACTCGCAGGGAAGATGCTGGGAAGCTGGTCTTCACCAGTCTGAGAAGGAAACAAAAGAGCCAGGGTGGCTGGCAACTTCCTTTGGAGTGGGAGGCTGACAAATCTGTAGGTTGGGAGTGTGGGGCCACTTGTGCCTAGAATGGGACTTGAATGTCAGAAGATATGGAGAAAAGTTGCTAAGACTCTTCCACTGTCCTATATTTCTTATTTGTGTGAAGTCAGTCAGGGATAAAAAGTGGTGTAGGGAGGGTTCCCTTCAGGCCTTCCAGGCAAGTAGGCTAAAATCAGCTCTTTCCTGAAGTTCCCCTGGAGATGCAGCTGGAGGTGAGAGCTCATTCTATGAGTGAGGTCGGTACAGGAGATTACTTTTGAGCAGCTATTGCAACTTTGTCTCCTTTCATGATTTGGTGGGGTTTTTTTCCTGTGGGCTGGACCTCATATTTGGAAATAAGGAAGGTCCTCTCCTCTCAGGGCAGTTCCTGTGTCGATGGAGTGTACCTGCTCGGTCTTCTGCGAATTAAGAAAAACAAAATCAAACAAACCTTCCCCCCAAAAAAAAAAAATCCCTAACAAAAGACTTTCTCTCTGCAGCCACAATGCCGTCTACCCCCTGCCCCGAGCCAGGGATGCAGTCCTGCTCCAGAGCACGGCCCGGTGGAGCCGGCCGTCCCCTCGGGTAGCTCCGGACGCGCTCCGCTGTCCCCGGCCGTGCGGGACCCTCCGAGACGGCGGATAAACCCGAGGTGCTGGTAACGCCGTAGCTCTGAGGTAATCTGCTTTGAGGAGACCAGGAGGTCAAGCCTGCAAGTTAAATGGATTTGAGTCATGTAGAGTTAAACTAACCCCTCCCACAGCCATGGACCACTAAAGCGCCCATTTTCATGAGCACCTCTCACTAAGGCAGCTCGGAGCCGGCGGAGGCTGAGAGAGGAAGAGGGGGGGAGCGAGGAAGGAGGGAGCGAGCACCAGCACTGATGGACGAGCCAAAGGGTAAGGACAGAAGCGAACCGCTGATCTCCAAAGGCAGCCCTCACCCCCGGCGAGGGGCGCGGGGGTGCGGCGGGGCTCCTCGGGGAGCCCCCAGGGTGGCGGCATCCCGCGGCCAGCACTCGGGGGAGGCTGTGCATATTCATGAGGAGCTCCTTAGGATGTGCCAGTCAGGCGAGAGCCGTGGCTGCGGCATCCCCGGGCGGCGCGTCCCTCCCTCCGCGCCCGCGGAGCGCTGCGGGCGGTGGGCGAAGGCTCCGCGGCGGGGGCTTGCCGGGGTGGGCGCAGCTTTTGCCGCAGTCCGCCCCCGGCTGACATCATCTTCCAGCCCTTGGACTCCTGGTCGCTCCTGAAGGGACAATGCCGAGTTGTGACTGGGGGGGCCGGGCGGGGGGCCGGGGGGAGCCGGAGGTGCCCGCGGACTGGGGGGTCCCCGGGCGGTGCAGCGGGGCGGGCGGGAGCGGGGGCTCCGCGCTGCCGTCTGCCAGAAGTTTGGACGCGTCAGTGCGAGGGATTCCCTCCCGCGGCAGGGAAGAGCCGGCTGCGAGTCCCGGCTGCCGCCCGCGCTGCCCGCGGGGCCGGGGCCGCTCTCCAAGGGCGAAGGGGGCGGGGAGGGAAGAGCAAAAACTCAGTGGAAGTGTAAGCTGTTGGAAAACCGCGGTGGGAGGCAATGGCTCTGAGGCTGGAAGCAGTGCTGTGCTAGGTACGAAGGGCTCTCAGTGCATGGTCTCGAAAAAAGAGGATTCGCGATTGGGCAGCCGGGCAGCCCTCTGGCCTTAACTACTGTCGTGGGGATCGATGGAGGGACCCGGCAATAGCTCTGTTGCACCGTGATTTTTCTACAAGATGCATGTCTTGTACTAGGCTTTGCCTTTTATAATCAGCTGACACGGTGCACGTAGCAGCAGTAGTCACACAACGTTTGGCAGAAACATTTCCTAGTTTAGTATCAGCTTTTGTCTATCTGGGTGCCTTACCCTCTGTTTACAGCGCCTTCTGCAATATGGTCCGTCTTTCTATACTGCTGACAGCACTGTGCTCTGCGGGGCTTTCGAACACAAAGCAGGAACTCAGACAAATAAGCAAGAAGCAGTACACTGAAAAAATATCTGTGCAGAAACTTAGCCTTTAAAATGAGCGAGAAGCTTAGGGATAATAGTTTCCACTATTTTGATAGTTTCTTGTTCAGTACCAGGTGGAAGTCTCTAATTTATCATTGTTATGACAACAGGGAAACAAAATGTGATTGCTTTTTTTCCCCTAGAATAAACAAATTGGTAAACTAGACCTCCCCAAGGTTTTAGCTTCATAGAATGTAATGAATACCATTTGAGAGAAAGAAGCATTTTCTCAGTCTGACGTACATCAAAATTTAAAGCAAAGAATGGCAGAAGGAGAAGGTTAGCTCATTAGTTTATGCAGTCATGAGTAAAGCTGGAAATATTTAGAGATAATTTGCCTCTGCTGAGGAGGGAGATAAGAATAGCTTTGAAACCAGTCTTTTAAAAGTTTCATTCCAAAAATAAAATACAATGCGTGAATGGAGATTTCTAGTGAGTGAGGAATCACAGGGAAGAAACTTAGATAATGAGAACTGATTTAGCAAAGAGGACCAAATAAGTCTTCTTTTAGAAAGTGGAATTTTAAAGAGACAGAAGGAAACTGAAGAAAACTGACAGTGCTCAGGATAGTTGCAGAAGAGTGGTGTCAGAATGGACTGACCTGCAGAGCATGCAGGTCTTGCAAGAACCTAAAAAAAATTAGTGCCATAAATAGCAAGAAACTGTGTTTTGTGTGTGGGGAGAGAAAACACGACACTGTTTTTGAGAACTCCTCTTGCAGTATCTTTTACAGAGGCAGCAATGGGTTTGACATGGGGGAGTCCAGGATAGGCGGTATCTATCAGGTATCAGGAAAGTTTTCACCTTGAAATAAGGCACAAATGCACACCAAGGCCATGTCCTTTAATCAAAAAGGAATTATTAGGGAGTGTTTCAGTAAGAGGCCTGTTCCTGTGAGCCTTGCCCACGAGGACTGTAAAAACCAGGTTTGAAACACTACTATTTAGTTTTAGGAAGCCTGATTTTAAATACTGATGCTGTCATCTCTGCTTTGATATTTGGATTAACATACTAACATGGCCAAGGAAGGAATTCTGCTTGGGATGCTACAGAGCAACAGGTTATATTAGAGATTAGTGTTGACTACCTTCTTGGACAGAAAGCATGACTACCTGAAAAATACATGTTACTGAAAAATACTTAGGTGTGCTTCAGTCCAGGGAGAGCATGATGGTGATCTCACTCAGCAGTGAAAATCAGTAGACCTTCTAAAATATATCTGTTTTAACCTAGAAGGTACTAAGGTAATAACTGTGATTTGGAGCTCTCTATATACATGATGAATTAATCACTGTCAGATGACCGCTCTCTATGGATTCTTCCAGCATACAACAGTAATCAAGTAAAATCTGATGGGAAAAAAGAGAGGAAAAAAATGTGAATGGAAAATCACAAATTTAAAGAAGACATACTGAACAGCACTTCAAAATCAAGAATGAGGATAACTTTGACTTGTTCATTCAGGCAGTGAAGGCAGCAAGTAGAAGTTAACACAAGTAAATGGCAAGGAAGTGGAGAAGGAGGAACTGGAGAACATCTGATGAAAAATACAGACTGTAAATTGGGGAAGATTATTTAGAGAAAGTAAAGATGTCAGGGGAAATCTAAATTTAGCAGGACCAAGCGCAATTCAAAGGAAGCATTTTATGTGTCTTAGGAACAAAATAATATATATATAGCAATTGTCATTATGGAGGTGGACAGGGTTAGATTTTAATGGTGATGCAGGAAAAATCCTGGAAAAGTGTTAGTTAAATACTTTTTCAAATTTGAGGGGAGAGAAATGAATTCTGATATGAAGGAATATTTCATGGACATACGATAACTAACTAGCTTGTTTTGTAGATTAGCATTTTGGGGGGCAATAAAGTTTTAAAACAATTTGAAATTAAATATGCCAAATACTTACTGAGAAGATCTATACTCAATGATTTTCATTTTCAGCAAACTGGAACACTAGGGATATCTCAGGCAATGGGAAGAATAGTATTGTTGATGCAATATCCCAGCAGCATGATGGTGGGTAACCTGGAGAACTATTTCCAGTTTAGGTTGACATCAGTTTTATCTAAATTACTGGATAGATCACCTCAATAATCAGGTTTTAATAGCTACTATTCTTTTGATTTTGTAGAGCACAAAACTTGTCAAAGTAGCGTTCAGAATAATGTTGTAGAAATCGGTAACTCTGTCAAAAGGGATAACAGAATGAATGCATTGAAAAGGAAATTACTCATTGCAGATGGAAGCAAACATATGAGTTCATGTAGTTCCCTCAAGTGAGCATATTAATCTGCATCCTGAAAAAGAGAGTCCCACCTTCAAGAGTTGGCAGCAAGAACTTCAAGGATTGTATTTCTTTTGGGTTTGGAACTTGGTTAGAGAATCCATTTATAAGAAGGGGTGATGGGAAGTATTTCAAGTACTGGCAGATCTTTTTAATTTGTCTTTGCTTTCTTAAAGGCTCTTTTGCTTACACAGTAAGTCAGCTGATCGAACAAAATAGATGTCACACAAGCCTGGTGTGATTCTCATTTGGGAAAACAGGCTGCATTTTGTCTAATGCATGTTTTCATTTACTGAAGTTCTAGGAAAAATTATGTATTCTTAAAAGCTTAGTGACTTTTGAATAAATCTTGACTCTAAGTTAAGGGACTGTAAAACCTGACTTCCTTGATAGTTAGGAACTAGTGTACAAAAGGGGAACTGGAAGAACTAACTTCCCTGGTTGCTATTTTATAGCCATGAGCTGATTGTAAGTGTAGGACTGGGAAGGCACTGGTCCTTTATTTTCCAAATAATTATTTGCACTTGTTCTATTTTTCAGAGATAACAAATGTGGTTGAAAACAGCAAATATTAATATCTTCCATGTTTAAACTTCTTCACAATAGATGAATTTCTGATGTTGTTGTGATTATAGAAGTCTCCCTTTGACTCTCTAGCAGAGAATGAGCTAATGGATTATTAATAATTAAGACCTGGATAGCAATAAACCTCAAAAATATTCATCAAAGGAAATAATTACTAAACAGCTGTGTTTCCAGAGATATTCTGCAAGAGGCCCAATGGCATTAGACATTTTCAATAATGATCTAAAAAGTATAAAATCGTTTCTGATTTACAGATGGAGCTTGTCAGTGCTAGGAGGACCAGTACAAATACCAATTAAGTCAGAGGAAAAAGTCTAAAGAAGCCAAGAGTGGTTGGAAACATAAAGAGCAAATAAAAGGCTTCAAGCCAAGCTTGTAAAGTACAGCTAATGTGACTTTGGGAGGAAAATTGGCCATTCAAACTCTGAATAGATTAGAAAGATAATGTTGTCCGGAAAAAAATATGCATAGGGGTGTGTGTGTGTCTGTGTCTGTGTCTCCGTGTGTCTGTGTATATGTCTGGGACAGCCATAACTCACAGTTTTAATTTTTTGATGTATATACTCAGCTACCTTACCATGGACAGAGAAGGTTGTCCTCTAGTAAGCTTTACTGTGACCACTGCAGTAAGCTTTTTGTTTGCCTCGTGACTTCTAATTACCAGAAGCATATAGAAAACCCTCAAGGAATTTCTAGAGGAGAAAAAGTAAATTTAAGAGGCTGGACACCTGAAAAGGGAAGGGTTATAAAAGCTATAATAATTTATAATCTTTTTGGCTTTTCTTACGTTGCATAACTAGCTTAGTATAGTGGAAAAGTATCACTCTTGGTCACACTTCTTCTTTTCCTAAGACATCTTTACACCTTTAGCACCTGTTGGTTTGGGAGCAACTAGGAAATGAAAATTTTGGGTTAATACCCTCTGGGTAGGTATTTTGTACCATCTTACTAGCTCAGTGCTCACTAACAGTGTTCCACAGAGCTGGATCTGGTTGGAAGTGTGTTGATACAGAAGATGAGTTCTGAGCTTGGAAATTATTTGTTCAAGGTAGTTAGGATGTTTTTAAAGACAGAAGGGTTTGAGCTAAACGTTGGGATGAAGTAGATACGCTGAGATGACTTTGGGGAGCCACCCCGTAAGGGATTAGTATTGCTTGAGACTGATCAAACTTAAATTGTAAAATTTGAGATCATGTTCAAAAGAGAAGCACCACTGTTGGTTTTCTGAAAGCTGGGATAGATGGGGACCACTTCTAAAATTCTATTTTCTTATTGTTTTGTTATCTAGATGTGAGAACTGGCTTTATCTTTCAACTCAGTGGAAACTTCCCTTCCCTGAGCAGAGCTGAAGGTTTATGGCAGGCACTTCCATCACTGTCTCCTAGTCACAGAGCTGTTGCCAGTACGCTTTCATGGAGAGCAGCAGAGTCTAAGGGTGTACTTCTACAGCTGGCGTAATCTGACATAAATCTGTGCTGCTGAAAGAGAAGAGAAAAGGCGCCTGTCCTTGTCCCCTAGCCTTGTTCTTTTTAATCTGCAATAACTTTCAGCTTGTCTAACTTGAAAGCCACCACCAGCCCAAGTGAGAGAACAGAAGGAGGGTAAGTGTAAAAGTCACTTAGATTAAAGTTATTGGGGGGGAGGGTGGGGGGTGGAAATCTTCGCTGCAACACAAGGAGATTCACAAAAACAGCCCTGTGCTCTGAAACAGTGCTGCATTAGCAGTACAAATAAAGAAATGAGTTAAGGGAAAAAGTGTGAGAGACCAGATGGAAGGGAACAGAGTCGACTAAGTGCACACTGAACAAATTCATCTGCTCACATCCTCTCATGCATTCGCTGCCCCCAAATGTGGAAAATGCTGGAAAGATCTGTTTCCCAGCCTGCTCTCTGGGCTCCTTGTCCGTCTGTCCCTAGTCCTGCACTGGCTGCTCACACTCAAGGGTGATGCAGGCAGTGTCGTGGTCACTGCTGTCACTACTCTGCTGGTGTTTAGCCACCACCAGCAATGCTACAACTATGCCTCTTATATTCTTGTCTAAACCCTTTGAAGCCCATATTTGTCCCTTCCAGCTTGGGAAGAGCTTTCCATGAGGATGTGCAGAGCCGCTTCACTGTTTGCCTTCACGCTGCCTTTCACATTCCCCTTGTGATGTCAGCATAGGGATTAAGTTTCTGAAATGAGGAGACATACGTCCATCAGTCTGACCCATGCTGTCCCATGCTCCTTTGTGACCTTCATCCAGCTGTATGCTACATCTCTTCTGACCAAAAAGTAACCCTTATGTGGTGGCTGAATGGTTTACAGGCTGGAACTTGCACCTTTGACCAAACACTTTTATTTTGCTTAAGTAGAAGTTAAAAGCTTTTAGTTGATTTGTATTCTCTCCTTTGTTTCTGATCTTCCTGAGAGTCTTGGCCCTGATCACATAGGATGGTGAATGCCAGATTGTTCTTGAGGGAGAAGATGCGAAGAAAATGGACCCTTTTTAAAAAGGAATGAGAATTAGCTTGTCTTCATTAACTATCTGCAATCTTTCAGCCAAAGCTCAAACCATCTCTGGCCTTTGAGCTCTGTGCTGACTGGAAAAGGTGACTCAGCAGTGCAGGATGCAGAAACCACTTCAACCCCTCAGATGGTTCACAGCACTGTCACATTCTGCTCGAAGGGCACCCGAGACGGCGGAGTGACAGGAACGACCACTTCAGCTGCTGTGGTTTCCAACGTTCACCAGAAGTGACAGTGCAGATGGGGGCAGGGCAGGCAGCAGCCTCCGCACCTTTCTCCCAGGGCTGTAGCAAAGAGAGGTAGACTCCTCCAAAAGTGAGGGATGGAGGGAATTTGGAGACCCCTCAGTACAGCTAATGGGATGGAAACATCCAGAGTGCATGCCCAGGGAGCAGGCAGGCAGCAGGAGAGAAGATGGAGCTTCTATGTGGGGTGTGGGTTGCTGGTGAGGACAGGTAATGGAGTGGCATTTGTTCCTCTGCTGAAAACTGTCCCTCCCTGCCACCTGCTCTTTGCCAGAATGGGAGGGGGCAGCTCTTGCCAGGGAGAACATCTGCTCTTGGCCACAATCAGCCTTTGGCTGTTGGCTCCAGCTGCTTTGTGGGAAAGGCACTGGAAATCTGCAATTTTGTCTTGAATTGAATGTGCTCAGTAAGCTGATCTAAAGCTTCTATATATTTAGTTTCACTGCCTGAAATAATGTAGGAAGCTTATTGTTTGTCATCTTTGTTTGAGACTGCAGTAAATATGAAAACAGCGGAAGCTGAAAAGAACTTCATTCTGCTAAATCTAGTGGCCAGGCTCTTGTTTACAAAACTTAGAAATACTGTTGTGACCAACGGCATGAAAGTCATACAGAAAAGAAGAAACGAATGTTCCAGCAATGTTGTTTAGGATTTATTCTTTCATTAACCAGAGGGAATTGGGACTTTATTTGAAAGGTGGAACTATGGCATAAGACAGAGGTACTGTGGTCCCTTTCTGTGGCGGAGCAAACAGCAGTTAAGCAAACTGTGAAGTTAAACCTTTGCACTTCATCTTAAAAATAGTGGTTTACAATAGAACCTGGCCCCATGCTATGAATTCCATGTTAAAGACAGTAATTTTACAGTTGCTTTTTAGGTTACAAAGCATGTCTCAGCTGCAGAGACTAGTAATTTCTCTGCCAATTTAAGGACCTTCCAGTTTTTTGTCCACTTGGTGTCTTAGAATGCTAACTGGATTCCATAGGCCTTGCTGGGAATAGATGTCCTTCTGTAAATAGGGATTTGGAGAACCTCTTCTGCCCCTTTATTTCTCAGAAGACTATAACTGTAAATTTACACATCCTGGGAACCTTTGGTGTGATGTAGTGGTTAGTCTTTATGTTTACTAGCATCTTTCTAATGTAGTAATGAACACTTTTAACTCTGATGGTTTCTCTTTCCTCCGTCCCTGAAGTCAGACAGCAGGAAGGAGACACAGGGAATGCCTTTTTTCCTCCATGGGACTCTACTGGCTTTGTTTCTCTTTTTCAGCACGTTTCTCCTAACGTAAATGACATTTTCAATTTTTATCGCCTGTTTTTAAAGTTGTAGCAGAACTGCATAGATATTGTAGCATGAGTCATGTGTGTACTTTACTAGACCATTAATCTCCAAATTGTTGTTAGTCTGGCAGAACATCAGAGAATATATCAAAATGATGGAAGATGAATTTAAGAGTAGTTGTAGTCAAAGTGTGCTGCTCTTTCCCTGGACCCTGGGAATTCTGCCTCTCTGCAGGAAGGGAGTGTGCTGTGAGCCCTGGCACATGAGAGCTACCCAGACAAGTGGATGAGGTGGTCCAGAGGACAGAGAACCAGGCATGTGCTGCTCCCTTAGGCTTTTTTATCATCTGGGGAAACGGGGCTAATGGTGCTAACCTCTGGCAGCATATGGGTCAAAAGCACTGTGACGAATTTAAATGTTTCAGTTTGTTACTAGGGAAAGGCTGAACTTCAACAGACAGAAGTATGATGGTGGCCTCCAGTATTACCAGTTTTGTATTAGTTTCCCATATGTTGTGGGCAGACAGCACTGCTGAGAACTGGAGTCAGCTGTGTAAGCCACAAAGTTGAGGGGAGCCTGGGAATAGTGGGAAAGTACTGAAAGAGTCCCAGCCTTTCTTCGTGTCTGTGTGCTGGGAGAAGGCTGGACTCATAAGATTGTGTGCACAAAAGCCTCCTTGTGAGCATTGTGGTTCTGCTATGGGAGAACTGCAGCTATCCTGTCTCACCAGAGCTTTGTGGGAGAGGCTGAGGTTAATGCCAGCCTTACCCTGCAAGCCTGGGTATAAGAACGCTACCAAGTCTGCGCTACACTGGTGACAATGGTCTCACCCTGTGCTGTCACAGGAAGCTGCTTGGCACAGGACAGACTGTAAACAGCTCCAGCTTTAAAACTGTCAGTAGATCTTGGGTGTAAACTATTTTAAAACCTTTGTGGTGCGTCTGGTAGTGGCACCCAGGAACAGACTGTATTGTTCCCCTCCAGAATTTCAACATCCTCTAACTTCCAGAAGACTGCCACTGCTGCTGCGCTCATGCATGCTGTGCCACAAGCTCCGAGCAGGAGACCTGGCTACATCTGAGCAGCAGACTGAGCAGCATGGTTACCACAGCAGCCCTAAAACCTACTGCCTTTGCTGTTGCTGTAACCTAACCAAACCAAGGAGACCTTTTCCCATGTGTGATGATGGCCTGTGCAGTGAAGCTCCTGGTACACCATGCATAAGGTAGGCATGCAGCTGGAGAAGCAGAAATACTACAACAGGCCTGAAGGAAATGTGAATGAAGAGTGTGTGTGTGTGAGGAGTAGAAGCAGCAACAGATCAAAGGTTAAAAGAATGGTCTGTATTGATAACCAAAGGACACGACCGACTGCACTAAAAGTGGATAAATGCTGAAAAAATGTGTTTGTGACAAGTCCAGCAGCCTGCACCCCGATAAGGCTCACATGGTCAGCAAAAGGCATGGGTGCTGATAAAGCTCCTCTGCGGATGACTCTTTGGGGAAGAAAACTGTGCTCCAGTAACAGAAGGATCACAGTAAGCTCACAGCACATCCTGTGTGCAAGTTGTCCTCCTCCTCTCCCAGCAGGAAGACAGACCATGGGAGCTAAAGTACCCAAAATGAGAGGGGAAAAAAGGCAGTGAGCAGCCACCTGTCCCAGGTAAATGAGATTTCAAGGCAAGTGGATCACACTGTAGTATCCGTTAGCTCCTGAAGACGGCAAAAGACCTGCTCAAGAATTTTTAGCTTGCCTATGAAGAGGAACCCAAGAGATGCAGTGAGGACTTGGTATCTGGTACGCTTGGTCTCATCTCACATGGGATCTTGCCAGAGTGCCTGGGCAAGCTTGGTGCCTGTGAGTACAAGGAGAGTGAGCAGGGGTGAGAAAATAAGTGTGACCAAAAAGATTTTTCAAAACAAATATTATCTTCCTGTTTCATAAGGTCTTGCACTGTTGCTGCATTAATTTGCTGTATCATAGCTACATTAAAAACTGCTCCATTCTTAAACAAAGCTTTCACATCTTTTTCTCCTTTACAACTGGTAATCAGAGCTTAAGAAGCTTTTGTTTTGATGTGATCAATGGTGCAAAAATATAATGAGTTCCAAGCTGAGCTGTAAGAGGCTCTGAGGGCTGAAAAATACTGGATGAAAATATGAGACAAAAGAGGAGGGCAAGAAAAGTTGTCAGATGTTTTCAGTGATGGGAAGTGCAAAGCTGAAACTACTCAAAAGCCTTTTGCCTTCGCTGTTCCCACCCAAAGTAAGTTGACTTCCCTTGTGTCTGCATAAACAATGAGCATGTCATGACCCAGGAAGAAACTCACTGCTGAGAGTCATCTGAATAAGAGTGCTGTGGGAGCCCAATTTATAAATGGATTTTAAAGCTAGGTCTCCCACATCTGCCCCATGGGGTTACTGTAGAGCTCCTATTTCTCCTTCAGCCTCTAGCCTTTATTTCCATACTTCACATCTCTTTAAGTGAGCCCCGATCTCTTTGGGATCAAATCCTGCTCTCAGTGTTGTCCTTATGAGTATCTGAAGGTGGAGTTGTTTTTCTC